GTCATTGTATTCAGATAATTAGATGATTATATTTTGTTTTTACCTTTTTTTGGTATTCATGAAAACTGTTTTGGCTAAGTTTTCAAATTATAAAGTTAGCCATTGAATGCCAGGAATAGACTGTGTGTGTGTGTGTGTGTGTGTTTGTATAGTACCACTACGATGGGTCTGTGTATTATAACTTTTTAAAAAATATACTTTTATTGATTTCAGAGAGGAAGGGAGAGGGAGAGATAGAAACATCAATGATGAGAATCATTGATCACCCAGGCCCGCTCCTCCCCCATTCGATTTAAGCAGTCTTCATTTTCCACAGTAGTAACCTTTCTAGATACGTCTTGTAGACATCAGAGTACTGGAAAGGAAGCTCCTGTTCAAAGGCAGTTTATCTTAAGATGCTGTAAGTGATACTAATTTGGAAATTCAGTTAACTACCATTGCCGCAAGTGAACAACAGTATTCAAAACAGGTTAAAGAACTGGAAACTGAGCTTGAAAATGAGAAGCTTAAGAATACTGAACTAACTGCAAGCTGCAACAAGCTTTCATTGGAGAACAAAGAACTAGCACAAGAAACAAGTAAAATGGCCTTAGAACTTAATAAACAGCAAGAAGATATTAATGTGAGTTGAAAAAGAAAGAACCAATGACTTAATTTTCTTACCTGTAAAATTAGGGAGTTAAAATAATGACATCTAAAGATTCTTTCAGCTTTAAAAGTCTAATTATCTTAGAGCTGATACTTTGTTTTAGAAGAAAAGTATGCATACTGATCTTACATGGTGATAATGAGCAACAGAATATAGAGGTTACCCAATGATAAAGTTAATTTTAAGCATCAAGATTTGTATAAAGTATTCAACAAGTATTTATTAAGTAAATCATATGAGACACTGTGGAGGATATGGTGACGAATTAAAGGTCATCCTCTTTAGGAGCTTATAACTCAATAGAAAAAAACTGCTCAAATAGCTTAAATAAAATAGTATATGTCTTGTTTTGGGGACAAAGTGTTATCCGCATCCACAGGATCACTTCTGCTTTGGTGGAAGAGAAGGCTTCAGAGAGAATGTAGCATTGATTTTAGCCTAAAAGATGAGTAATTATGAGTTCAGTAGGTAATAGTGAGTGGGAACACATTCCTAAAAGCCACAGCAGTATAAATAAAGGATATGTCTCAAATTATCATTGGGAAACAGTAAATAAGACTTGTTTTGTTAGCTGCTGAGTAGAGATTGTTAAAGAAATGAAGTCTGGAAAAATAGTGTGGAACTATGCAAATTAGGCCATTCTCTTTGTGTGTGTATGTATGTATATATATATATA